GAAGAGCCGTTTTCACTTTTACGTCTCATTGATTCTCGGACAAACGGGTGTGGATGAGTTCGCACCACATTTTCCAGCGTGTTTCAGATCTGACCTGAACCAAAAAATTGTGGTTTTTTACACTCGTGTAGGTGGAAAATGTGAGGTTAAAAAAAAAAAAAAAACTCTGGCAGGTGATGAAGAGTGAGATGAGGCGATAAACTGGACAACGGAGAAGCAGAAATTCCGAGGGTGTGTGGGAAAAGGGCTGATCTTCCCTTTGTAGCCGTTCTCCTTAAGCAGAGCAAAGATGTGACGATAATTGAAGCAGCATGATTTGAAGCTAGTCAGAGGGAGAGAGAGAGAAGTTCCAGCCGTTGTTAGCATTAAGGCTCAATAAAAGGATTTAGCTGCAAATATCCTATTTTCAGTAAAAGAAACCATATTTTTTTATGACAACACAAGTTCATGTGAAAACAGATTTGTCTTCTGAAAGCTATTTCTGTGACAGAGAGCCCAGCTGAACCCGGTTCCCAGGATAAATATGTATACGCTCTCATTGTTTTCAGTTAGGAAATAAATTGCTCTCATCTTGAGTCGACAATATGGTGAAGCTAAAACAAAAAAAAAACAAACAATTTAGCCACAACAAGTAACAGGACGTGAGGATCTGGGTCCAATTTTATTCAACAACAATCCCTTCGAAAATATTTGGTGTTTTCTTTTGGATGGAGGTAATGTCGTTTTCAGGACAAAAGTCCACCGATGTTACGATGTAGGGCTCAGGCTTCGTGTCATGTTTTAGAACCTGGAGTTTGAAAATTGATGATTTCATCCGTTAGTGACGTCAGTGACTGGGTCAGAACAGAGACGGGAAGATAAATCTGGGCTAAAAATAAAGTGATGGAATCTCTGTGATTTAACTGCAGGATTAGAAACAGAATAATTTTTTTAAACTTCATATAACTTCACACATTTGAAGGAGAATTTAATGTTTTTATAATATTTAAGCTAGGTTTTAGTTCTTCTGGATCAACGTTCATGTAGAGTGGAAATAAATAACTTTTTAAGCTCTGTTTGACAACTTTTGGCAATATTTTGTTCGGCATTTTTTTCTTAAAATTTTTGGCCAAAATGATAAAATACTTTTGAAAAATATTTCAATGTTTTAGCCTTTTTAGGTAAATTTAGGCTTTTGCTAAATGTACTGTTTATTTATTAAATTTACTATTTAATTAATTCTTAAAAAAAACAAGTAAAAATAACAAGTTTTTCAATTTTTAATTTTTACTTTTTTGATAAGAGTATATGTAAACCTATAGTGGGTTGTTGTAGTAATAACATAGTTTGTTTGTTTGTTTGTTTGTTTGTGTGTGTGTGTACATGTGTTTGTACAACCTTCCACTGTGGCAGGTGTCGGAGGCGGGGCATGCTGGTCAAACAGCCCAGAATCCAGGAAAGTTCAGCGTGAGCTGAAACCTGCAGGGACGAGATGATCGAGAAAAGAGGAGACAAAAAATCATTAAATAAAACAATATGTAGAAACACATGTAGATTTTCTCTTCTTTGGCTTTGATGATGAGAAGTTTAAGATCTGAGAGCAACAACAAAACATTTTTGTACAATTTGAATGAAATCATTTGTTGTACGTGCTATGGTTCGGTTTCTCCAAGTCATATGTTTTGGCCTTTTCTTGTGATGTGAAGAGATTTGTGAAGATAACTCTAAACACTGCATTTTTATAGAATAGAATATTTACATATTTTTCCCCCAAAAATGAGATGAAATGTTAGGAATTTATTGAACCTTTCAAACCCAACGGCCGTCACCGCACGTCTTCACATGTCAACTCCGTGTCTGTGAAAACACGCAGCGAACCACACGCCAGCAGCAGACAGGGAAACAGAGCAAATAAATGAAGCCGAAAAAGTAAACAAACAGATGAATGAATGGGGCTTTGTGGTGGGGCAGAGGTGAAAAAACAGGAGGGTAACTGCCTGGTGCCTCCATGTGGCAGAGAGCAGAACTGTCTTGTACATACGTTTTGACCAATCCTAGACAGGTGCACCAGTTAAGACACACACGTGGTGTTAAAATGGCAGTTCAACACATGTACAACTTTTTTTTTTTTTTTGGAATTATCTAAACTTCAGATGAAACGTCAGTGGTGCCTTCACATACTGCACTACACACAAGGACACTCCATGTTGTGGGTACAAACATTTTTGCATCTTCAGTTGATAACAGTCAAAAGCCATGATCATCAAACGGTGGCTCGCGGGCCCCCGAACTGTCCAATCTGGCGTCCCAAAATTATGAGAATCAAAAAAAGAAAATATCATGTGCTCTCCATAATTTATGACTCTATTTATATTCCGTTAGACAAAACAGCAATTTTTATTTCAAATTATTTGAGAGTGCGCCCCCTTGAGGCGTCTTCTGGACCCAGTTTTTTTTTCAAATTTGCTTTTAAGGACACCTTTAGGAGTCTATGTTGGTTGCTGATTGTGGGAATGCCAAATGAGAGTTTCGCTCAAAACTGAAACTTTTTTTAGTAAGGGGAAAAAAGATGAGATTTGTTTGGTTCGAAAATGAAAGTTAAAGGGGGAAACAGGGAGGTGGAGGAGGTGGAGGAGGTGGAGATGCTGGGGCATGTGGCCGAGCTAAATGAACTCCCATACGTATCTGCTTTCATTGAGGCTCTAGTGGACGCGCCGTGTGTGTGTGTGTGTGTGTGTGTTTGGGGAGAGAGGTGCAGGAGCAGGAAATATCCTGCTCCAGCAAATTAAAGTTTATGGACACTGGCCCTTATTGCCATCCTTCTCTGTTCCTCTTGCCTGAAAAGCATTCTGGGAGCGTGATGTCAGCAGCAGGAGTGGACATAAAGCAGGATTGCAACGCAAACACGCAGAGGGGGAGCGTACGGGGGGCTTTGGGGGGGGAGGTGGTGTTCATTACAGGCCGCAGACAGACGGACAGAGTCCAAAGAGATGGGACAGATGTTGAAGACAGCGCAGGAAGGGATTGAAGTGATCTAAAGGGCAATAAAACAAGGGGGCGGGGGGGCGGAGAGGGGACACAGCGTCCATTCATGCTGGGGGGGCAAGAATGCACCGAAACCAGAGACACCGTCGTGTCACAGCTCATACGGGTCTTAGTCCGAATGAGATCCACCGGATTACGAAGAAGGGATTCTTACAGATCAGGTGACAGTCGGTCCCCAACATTCAGTCTGATTTCCTTCTTGATACTCGTATAAAATCCCCGTGGATTTGTGGATCTGCAGCTTCGCTTTCAGTTCAGTTCCTCAGCCCGCCTCCCGCCTCCCCCGTACTGAATGCGAGTATTTTCTTTGGGCGGTCGTCGTATTTTTACATGTGGAGCAGGCGTGTTCTGCAGAAGTGGCACCTCGCTGCCAAGTTATGTGGCATGAAGCTAAACTGAATTAAAACCGGACTGCGCGGCTGTGTAAATGTGTGTATGTGTCGCAGTCGCGCTGGACTATCTCACACTTTTTCCTCCCACGCGAACACACAAAAGCTGTAGAACAGTTAAAAAAAAACCCAAAAAAACACAGTATTAGAGGAAAACAAAACAGCTGCGACTGGTTTCTGAATCGTGAAATCAGCTGTTGGGTGAAACAGACTGAACGTGCTGTTATTTCAGCAGTTTTTTGTTTTTTTTTGTTCGGTTGATGTACGACTGGGTGGTTTGTGAGAAAAGAGAAGAGACATTTATAAGTTCTGTGTTTCTCCCAGGCCAATGAGAAAAAAAACCTTTTTGGTAGCTAGCTTTAGGCTTGCTCTATTATTTCTTTCACCTTTTTATCTATTAGCTAAAGTCTGTTAACTAATAAGAAGCTCTGGTTTGTCAACTTCCGTCTTGTTCAGTTTTTAGGTATAATAAAGAACTCAACTTCCTGTTTCTGTTTACCTCTGCTGCAGACAAGAGCTAAATGAAGGGAGTTAGCCCCGGAGCTAATGTTAGCTTCAGCCCTGGAGCAGATCACTAAGTCTCCTCTGTCTATTCCAACTACGGTCGGGAGGCCGACGCAGGAAAGAGCTGACGTGTAACCAACCGTGTTACAGGCATTCTTTGGAAAAAAGCATTTATTTAAATTAAATACTTTCTGTGTAAATATCCCATGTTACAACGTGGACACCTTCGGCTTATAGAGAAGTGCTGCATATATATATATTTTTTTTTTTTTCAAATTTAGTGGGCGCGGCTTATATTCCGGTGCACTCGATAGTCCGGAAATTACGGTACTTTTTAAATAAAAAAAAAAAACATATCTTTCCAGTGTTTTAGATGGTTTGCCAATTTTTCAAAACTTTTAGCTTTAATTCACGTGCTACATTGGTGAACTCAACATCTGCAAAGCCATTCAAACCCATGACCCTGGTTGACCTACCTTGGACTGCTGGAACAGTATGGCCCTCTCTGGATCGATGCCACAGGCTAGCAGACTTGCTGCCATGTCCAGTATGTTGTTCCTGAGCCGGGCCGGTTCCTGGGGCTGAGTTATGGAGTGTAGATCCACAATGCTGTAGAGAACCGACGGATACTGGTCCTGCAACGCCACCCAGTTTTCAAGGGCACCAAGGTAGTTGCCCAAGTGGGGCACCCCAGTTGGCTGAATCCCGGAAAACACTCGTCCGTTTGGAGGGCTCTTAAAGAGAAGCGAAAAACGCATAATGTTAGAAAAAATTCGGCAAATAAAAAAATGAAAGGCCCAGGTGAAAAGGTGAGAAACTCCCAGCTCAAAGGAAGCCTGCAGGGACTGACGGCAAGGCTACTTCGGGCAGGTTGAACGCCAGCACCGTTCACGCTTGCGTTACCCAGATGCTAAATCCATGGCTAGCACCTCTGTTCTCTCCCCAAAACAGCCAGCAGGAAGAATGTGTCACCTCACCGGCCAACAATAACACTTCAAACCATCCGAACGACTCCAAGGCCTCGCCAGGAGGCTGAGGTTCAGAGATATAACTGAAATAACGCCTACACCACGTAGCTCGTTATTATTACTTCTAATAACGGGAATTAATGGAGAGAGTTGGAGGTGAAACGGCAGCCAGCTCTACAGGACAGAGAGAAATCTCCCCCAAGGCTCGGCCAAACGTCCTGCAGCAGCGGGCCAGACTGAACCGCCTCATTTCTCCTGGCATTGGCCTCTGCGACAGGACCTTGGCTTTCCTTTGGCACCAACGTACGAGAGTCTCCGCCGCAGTTTAGGGCACGGAGCGCCACATGACACAATTAGAGGGTAAGCAGGGCGGCACCTGTCATAAGACACAAAACCACAATGGACGACTGCGTGACATGTGGAATTTGGGGCAGTTACACGGAAGATTGAGGTTTTAAATGGAGCAGAAAAACACAAAGACACAGACTGGAACTGGGTTTTTTTTTTTTTTTTTTCGAAAGTCAAAAGTCTTCCGGTGCTTCTGTGAACAGTTCCCGGCAGAGGTGCTGCGTTGTGCTGTGGTTTGGCGGGGTAGTTCAGCTCACAGGTGAGAAGGCGACGAAGGGTCAGGTCTGGATTATATTTATTGAACAGTGATGTCTGCCGTGACTCTGGACGTCCACCAGACCTCGGTGTTCCTCTGCCAGACCAAAGTACAAACTGTAACCTAAAGATAGCTCCGAGCGACCGTACTCTTACAGTAAGGTTTCATAAACACAACCCCCGAGATCACTCGGAGGATTACGTTTGTTTTAGTTCAGCGATTGTTGACGGGTTGTGGAACACTCTTCAACAGTGGTGTGATTTTTTTTTTTCCCACAAACCTTCCCTTCACAAAACCCATGAGATCTCCATGTTATCGCCTCACGCACCACTGGTGACGACGTGTTCACCGACTGCACTCTTCCGAGGTTATCATAACTAATCATTAGAACCCGACACTTCGGGGAGGATATAGTCCGCGCTGGCTGCTGGGAAATCGGTTATCTTGACATCTCACTGAGCCGCATCACATCCAATCCGACTGAAGGACAGGCTCGGCACAGCATCTGAGATCACGTGACATTTGCTCGTTCACCGACCTGAACCCAGAGCTTCTCTGTTCCTCAGCCCGACGGGATCAAACAGAGACTAGTTTGTGGTCGACATGGTCCGCAACGTGAGGGATTTGGTCACTGGTGTCTGGACAGGAGAGGGAGAGTGGAGGAAGAGGGGCGGGGGGGGGGGGTGTGAGAGAGGCAGGAAGGAACCTAGTCTTTATGTCATTACTAATGGTGTAATTGCACTTGAGGGCCACTGATGCTGAGAGCCTCTTAAGAAGTGTCAAGATTGATTTGGGTGTGGACCGGGACCCAGGTCTGGCTCATGTGTGTTCTCACCTCCAGCTGACACGGCAAATGCATGTTCCCCCCTCTGCCTCACCCCCGGGGGAAACCATTAGCCGTGCAGAAATGGTAATGGAGTCACGTTAACCGGCCCTAGTGTCCACTGACGGTCAACAACACCACCGACCAGCCACCGGGCGACTGTAGGTTGGGTTGTGTTGCTCTAACGTCAACATTAACCACAACCTTGACTCTGAGGGAAAGTTCCTTCAGAGATGGACTTCTACAGCTCCTGGAGGAGAACGCCGGCTACAGGAGGAGGTAAATCAACTGCCCACTGACGACAGTGGAGACAGTAAACGTTGTAAAGCAATTAATGGTTGTAATGAACACTGCACCTCGTCACCAGGGGTGATAAAATACCAGGCCTGCTGTAGGAGAGCTGGGCACGTCAACGGTGAAGTACTTCATGACGCCTTGTGGTGAGGTTTCGCACACCTTTAAATATTTGTTCATAAAGTGATATGGTAAACATTTTAACAAAAAAATTTACAAATTACAATTACAAAATGTTTTTAAAAATTCCCTAAAATCTAAAATTGATGACAAATCCATATTTTTTGGTTTCATTCACAAACGAAGACTCTCTGGTGACTGTGAATTCCCTAAAATCTAAAATTGATGACATCTCCATATTTTTTGGTCTAATTCTAATTCTCTAATTTTTTTGAAGGATTGCACATTTGACATGCTACAATTAGAAGTCTTTGGAGTCGTTATGGAAGCAGTCGTCGGCTAATGTTTTTATATTGATAACTAAACTAACTGAAGAAACCAATGACTATTTACTATGTATTATTAAAGAATATGACTGGAAAAAAAACTGAACCATTTGGTGCTGTAACTCAATCATTTAAATTTTCTATATTTAAACTCCATTTAAAGGCAATATAACGAATGGTCATAAAAAATGATTCATTGTTTATTTTCAAATATACTTTTTTTTTATCTTTAACTAAACCATAAGGCAGTGAATTTCCGATACATTTCTTTTGTTTGTCAGCTCTCTAGAAGTGCGTCCTAATTCTTCTCCTTTCCACATCCTCCCATCGTCATCGTCACTGGCTGCTGTTAATGACACACATCCACGGCAGGAAACGCTGCAGCTTCTCTCCTAATATATTAGACTGACAGACACGGCACTGTAGTACCGCATGGTCACGGAGGTGATGAAAGCTTTCTTTATCCACATCTAACATATGTTCAATGCATCTCTCCCTCTCTCTCTCTCTCTCCCTGCCCTGAAAGAGAGAGAGATCCTAACCATAGGGATCCATATGTACACAGGTGACAGTAATGCTGTTAAGGTGTCCGTCCATCTGGACTTGACAGCTGACGGAACGAGGTGAAAAAAATCACATGGAAATGTTTCAGTTTCACACGATGACAAGTTCCCGTTCTCATCGATGCTGGAACCAGTGCATCATGGGAAGCGGAAAGAGGAAAACGTTAATGTTGTCGTTCCACGGGTTCGTGATACAAAGGTATGGTGTCCTTGCAAAAATGTGTAGCAGTAAGAAGAATTAGACCGAAGGGACCGGGAAGAAAAAATACTGCTGCCTTTAATGTTGAAGTTGTTTTGTTGCTATGTTTTTTTTTGTTTGTTTTTTTTTCCTGGGATCCATGAAAAAAATATTAGAAATCTTTTTGTTTCAACTCAAATTTCCGGGGTAGAACGTTTGCCTAGAATTTTATTTTCATCTTGTGTTAAAAACATTTGCATGGAATATTTATTAAGCACTCCAACTATTGGCATTTCTCTGTTCTGAAATTAAAAAGACAAGGTCATTTGATTTTCTTGCGTTGCAATAAGGTCTAGCGCTTTGCAAAAAGCAGTGAGTTTCCATCTCCTAACCCACACTCTCATCCAGCTCTTAGTTATTAATCACAGCCATGTTCGGTGTGAACTTGTTGAAACAGTAGATGTCTCTTCTCAGGTCTGTTCCGGCCTATTTTCGAGGTTCATACATCACACGTTAGCCCTGCAGTCCCAGAGTGGACCACTGACATCTCTCTCACCAAGGGGTTGATGAGCAGAGCCGACGGTCACTCCCCCGCTCCCCCTGACCGCCCCTCCAACAATTTTACAGTTCCAGACCGACACTCAGGTCCAGTCAGCGTCCTGCTGACAAATGCTGTGACACAGCGTTCCTTCATACCTTTCTCCATCTCTGTCTTCCTCCCTCTAAGGGACCTGTTAACGCAGCACACATTTCAGAGACGTACAAATGTGTGTGAGTGTTTAACCCAGGCATGGGCAAACTAAGGCCCGCAGGCCGGATGCGGCCCGGTAAGCTTTGTAATCCGGTCCGCCAAACTTTTCCAAATTATATGATTCAGTTATATTATCATTATACTGCTGCCTTTACAATAACTTTACAATAACTTTCAATACCCACGTTTCCCCAATAGATGGCGTAGAAAAGGCTAAAATTATTTTAGCATTTTGTGCATGACTTTTACATGTCATTTATCTCAGTTCACACGAACGCTCCACCAAACAACTCACAGGTTTATTACCAAAGTCCTTGAGAAGTCTCAGCTACTATTCTTTAGTAACTTCGTCCTTTCTGCAACCATTCTCTTGAAATCCCATCATTGGTTCTCAATAGTGCTGAGATCAGGTCTTTTGAAAGGCATTTCCAAAACTCTTACATCATGTCTTGAAACTAGTCATTTCGGATGTTATTGTGTTGTCCAACATCCCCCCAGGTCCAGATTATCAGCTGTCTGCTTCCTGTTTTCTTTGACATTCAGGAGCACGCGCTGCAAAGCCAACCAGAACGCTGAAGTCAGAATTCAGGGACTTTTCAGAGTCTGAACATAAAATGTCAGATCGGTTCTAATCCTCTTTCATATGGATGTAATAAAAATAAATAAAATGATAAAATGTGACTTAAGCTCAGCCGAGACTTTTTCTTCTTCTGTTTTTCCCTCCCAGAGAGGCGGCCTGATGGGGAGAGGGGAGAAGGCCCGAAAGGAGCGTTTGATTAAATCTGCGGTTGACGTGTGGGACAGGTGAGATTGATGAGGTTCCTCTGAGCTTCACACTGTGCAGAGAGCGGGGGTACAGGAACAGAACGCTGCAGTGTGGCGGGCCGGGGCTCGAGGCCCACTCGCGCCGTGGGGTCCCAGGGCTGATTAATGGGACTGGAGGCCCTTCAAAAACAGCACTCCCCGCAGACGTGGCCCGACAGAGCTCCAAAAATAACCAGCTAGTGGAGGAGGCCCCAGTCTGCAGCACTAACAGGCTGCAGCTTCTGAACCATCCAGACTTCAATGACGTCTGGTTGGGATGAGGGGGGCGGGGGGGCGCGAGGTGGGCGAGGAGGAGTGAGGGGTAACCAAAGAAAGCAGAACGTACACTGAACAGGAAGCTGTAATCTGCCTCATTAGAAACTAAACATTTAATGAGATATTTAGTTTATGGGAAGTGACAGATCCTGGAAACTGATACTGTATCAATAAGAGTATCGTGTTACTGCTGCGTGTAGTCACACAGGAGAGTAAGTACGAGTATGTGTCCCAAAAAGGAAGAAATAAAACTTCAACATCTGCACTTTTATGAAGAAAAAATCTCTGTCGTGTTTCTGGATTTAAAGCCACAGAAAAGCAACGTTAGAAACCTGGAGGTACGAACAGACACAAAGAATATACGCAGACTACTACTACTAGTACTACTACTACTACTACGGTGGATATGCAGTAAAAACTCAAATCTGTGATTATGTAATGCACCTAAGACACTAAAAAAAGTTTGTCAGATCAAATCTCTTTATTTTTTTTATTACATTTTTCAATAGTGCTAGCCCAGGCATGGGCAAACTAAGGCCCGTGGGCCAGATGCGGCCCGTTCAGCTTTTTAATCCGGTCCGCCAAATCTTTCCAAATTATATAACTTATTTATATTATCATTATACTTCTGCCTTTTCCCTGCAATACCCACGTTTCCCCAATAGATGGCGTATCGAACCAATGACTCTCTACTGTCCACTTGAGAGGCAGGCGTGCTAACAGCTGCACTATAGAACCAAAAATTGAGTTCTAATTCGTGAGTCTTTGTGACTGACACAGGCTGCCAAAGGAGGCGCCATTGTGATAATGTAGTTTCTCTGGGAATCAAACCCAGGACTATGCTTCTTGCTCTCAAGGCAGAAACGCTAACAGCTACACTATGGAAACCACTAATGAATTAATTGTTAATTGTACATTAATAACAACCAGTACCACTCTGGTGCTCTTTAATTACACTCATGACTCCACTGTGAACCTGAATGTCATTCAACATCACCAAGACTTCAGTAACAGCCATTAACACATCCTTCATCCCACGCTCCACCGTTATTGGCTGTCACCTCAAACCGACCAGTAACAAATCAGGGCTGATAACAGCTTTATTATTTACAGCACAACCAATCAGCTTCAAACTGCCACCACTAGATCATAGTGCGAGGTGTGAACTCACAACCGGTTTACAGCAGGTTTTTCCTGAATTCTGTCCGTCATCGATTGGAGCAGCTGGAAAGACAACAATTGTATTCAGTCGATGCAAAATAGATTTACTAGCGATGGACCGATGGGTGCAGATTTTTGGCAAATTTTGCAGGGGGAAAGTGCTACTTCCTGAGAATTATTGACAGTTAAAAAAAAATAATCTCTGATTTTAACAAGTGGGGAAAAAATCTAAACTTTTTTAAGACATAAGAAAATTTTTCAAAAAATAAGTAAAGATTAGCCTACTGTCGACCAAAACTGTCTCCAATTAATAACAAAAGTATAACGGCTAAAACTGGTTAGAAAATATATGAACGCTTGACCTGAAATAACTAAAGAATTTCCAAAATAACTGAAGACTAAAACAGGTACAATTAAGCCAAAAAA